CTTTGATCACGTTAAAATAGATTTTGGAAACCAATTCGAAATTCGTTAATTTTTATTTGAAAGACATTTCTCTTAGTCAAGAGCTAGAGACGAGTTTAATTTGTCAGACAAAACAATTTATGACTTGGCAAGCTTTTGTCGTGAAGTGCTTGCCCCTTGGTGCTTGCAACATCAGTCAGAAAGAAAATTGGTGGAGACAGCGAGGTCGTCGAGTAAATTTTGAAAAACAAAGATTAACGCGTGAAGGTTGGTGGAGGGTCAGTGGGTCTTTGGGGGGGTCTGCCGGAAAACGCGGCAGTTTTTCCTAGTGCCGGTGGAATCCTGGGGCGCAAATACTCTTTTAACAATAATAAAAGAAAAAATCAAACCAGGAACTACCATCATTAGTGATTGATAGGGTGCATATAATTGCCTGGACGAAGAAGGATTCAATCACCGGCGGAGCCGCTGGTAGGGAAATACGGCGACCGGGAGGGGGGTCCCCGGGAGGTTTAGGAAGTTCTTTGGTTCGGACGGCGATTTTTATGATAGGTTGTGCGTTTAGGCCGGATTCGCTCGCTCGTTCGTTTCCACAACACGGTATCAAATCTTCCTGGCTGAATCTTGACTCGTTTTTTTTTTTTTTTTTTTTTTTTTTACAGTGTGAAATGCGATTCTTGGCTCGGGTTTTTCATGTTTACACTTTCTTTACTCCACCGGATCCCCCAAGATTGTTGACTGGGGTTGGGGCTTTAGTCTCCGAAGGGTGCGGTAATGTTGGAAATAATTACCCAGGGCGAAGGTTGGAGGTAGTTCGCTTCGCCTCGCGGCCAGTTTGTAAACAGCCAAAATGCCCGCCGAAATGTAACACGTGTCATTTTACTTTTCTATCTTTGATAGTCACTAAAATGTACGTTATAGAAATCGTCTACATCAGTTTGTACCATCATTACATTCTTAATAAGGGGAATAAAAAAAAATCGACGAGTTTCAGCGGTATTCGCCGTGGAAGGACTTTCTTTTTTTTTTTTTTTTTTTTTTTTTACAATCATGTGAAAGATGCACTGCGCAACGGAACCGTTCACTCTGTTTTAGGACAGGACGAAGCGCACCGTGCAAAAATGATTAAGTGGACGCAGGGATTGTATTGGGTATTTATCATCCTTGTGTCTTTTGAACACAGACTCTCTATCACAGGTTTCACGTAAAATTCGTATTTCGCTACTGCAACTAGCAACGGCCTTAACTGCATCCGCACTTCGACCATTGTAAAATTTAAGATCATAACTCCACTTTTCCATTTGCGTTTTGCCGAGGTTGCAAGTTTTACCATATTGCATACACGAAAATGGTATAACCAGGAAATATCATCTTTGATTTCTGTATATTCTGAATGTCGTCTTGCAAAGTTGACACAATAGGATGGCAGCCAAATATCTTATTTAAAAAGTCGTTACATTATTTTATAATATATAATGATCCATATGTCCAAAGAAGTTCATAATTTATTCATATATAAAATGTTTCTTTCTACCGTAAGGTTTCATACATTATCAATAAAAATACTACGATTTTTACTGCCCTCATATTAGGAGAACAGACAGATTATAAACCAGATAAAAACGTCATTATAATCGCTATACATGACCGTGAATCCATGACCAACGCAAGAGAACTCACTGCAGAACAGTTTAATGCATTGAAATTTCCATTTATATTAGGATAATATTCTCCTCATTCTTGGTATGGATGTACAATTAGTGTATATGAAGCTAATGAAAAGTGTCTAAACAAAAATAAATATAATATGTAGATTAAAAAGTACAACATACTTACCAAACACGGTAAGCACTTGCTGGGCCTTCCCCTAGTTTGTAATATGTCACACACAGCTGATATTTGTTTATATGTGACGTCATCAAGGAAACAAACGAATAAAGGAATGCGCAAACTTTGGACATTACACACGGTGATATTTTTACTAACATATATATATATATATATATATATATATATATATATTATATATAATATATATATATATAATATATATATATATATATTATATACTCATTTATCTGTTTACATCTATATACATATCATCCGGAGAAACTGCTGGCATATAGAAAAATAATTTCAACAACTAAAGCATAACTAATATATAGGGGAATTAACCAAAACCAGTATTACTAGTATTACTGATTGAAATTGCATTCTTTTTACTAAATGTTTTAAGTACATAAAGTATCTAATTCGTTTGATTTCAAATGCAAGGTAACGCGATAATAATTAAATTAGATATCCCTAAAATGTTTTGGTTTTCTCTGGAACATATCTGAATAAAAAAAACGAGTGCAATACAACGGGTGACTATAACTATATTCTGTTACAAATCATTAATATAAATGTTAAGAAATGATATTTGGAAGTCTTTTGTGTAGATTTATTGTCATTTTCAACCAAATACGAAATTCTTGGGTACAGATAACGGTTGCAAGTTGTATAAATTCGATAAAAAATG